TATCAAAGAAACAATATTTAAGAGTTCTTTATTTTATTTGTAAAAAATAAAACATTTGCACTATAATTGTTCTGATAAATTAGATTAGTCGTTGTGATTGTGAATAACAATAGAAAATTCTAATGGATTTATTATTTTCATTTCCAATTAAATGATCTAACTAAAAATTTACAAGTTAATATCGTTATTTTTTTTTTTTTCGTTTCGTAATAAATTTTAATGTGTGACAAAAAATAAAAAAAAGATCATAATCAATTTTGATGATCCATTTGTTGTCTGTTAATCCTGATTAGAAAAGAAAAACAAGTACAGTTATCTTGATTATGATACTAGTCATTGGAAATCGAAATGTATTTATTCATTTCAGACACGACAGGGTGCCTACCTATATATATATATTATTATTGTTGTTGTGCATACCATTGCACGTCAATGTCGTATTGAGTGATTAGTGTTTAAGTATATAAGAGAGAGAGAAACATATAGAATACTCTCAAGCTTACATCATTCACGAAAGCGAATATATATATAGAAATTTTTTTTTTCAGGTGAATGAATTGCTCACATATATATCTTTATTTCGATTGGATGGAAAAAAAAAGAAATCAATTTAGAAGAAGAAAAAGATAATAGCAACAAAAAATAAATTCACCAATCAGAAATTAGTTGACATTTTCTTCTCTCTCTCGTTCTTTTTGTTTGTCTAAGAAAAAAAAAAGAATACAATTTGTATTTTATTTGTTTGATTTAGGTATGAAAGTATTATTTTTTTCACTTATCTTACTGTTACTTCTTTCATTTTAGCAAAATCGATAGAGTTAAATGTTAGAAAAAAAAATTTCTTACTGAAAAATGTTTTCTTCTTTTTAATAGATTTTATGATGTCAAAAACAAAGAATGATGAATTAAAATTTTCTATTCGAAATTTAATTGATACAAAACCATGTATTAAAAAAGAAAAACGAATATCAAAACGATTAATTATTGAATCTCAAACACCATTAATTCGTCGACCAATACCAATAATTAATGATAAAATTTCTCATCCATGTTGGTCATTTTTAACACAAATAGCAAATAAAAATTATACAGAAAATTTATCATTACATTCTTCATTCATTTTTCTTAGTAAATTAAATCAAGCTTGGGAACATATTCAACGAACACAAATTTCACCATCAATAATAACAGAAAATGATAATGTTTCAGAAGATGATGATACTGATATGGATACATCATCTATACGTCATAATATTGAAATTGAAGATGATGAAGAAAAAGAAGAAGAAGAAGATGTTGATGATGATGATGATGATGATGATTTAGGTGAATGTTCAAGTAGTAATGATGATGATAAAATAAATCCTTTATCAAATAATGAAGAAAATGATAAATTAAAAAATTATCCTTGTACACAATGTGGAAAAGTAAAATAAATATTTTTCTATTAAAATATAAAAATTAAAATCTTTTATTTAAAAAAAAAATAGATCTTTACTGCTCAATATAATTTAGTTCGACATATGCCAGTACATACTGGTATTCGTCCATTTATTTGCAAAGTATGAAAAAAAACAAAAACTTCTCTTTTTATATTAATTTTTTTTTTTTTGATATTATTAAATTATATATTAAGGTATGTGGAAAAGGTTTTCGACAAGCATCAACATTATGTCGTCATAAAATAATTCATACATCTGAAAAACCACATGAATGTCGTATATGTGGAAAAGCATTTAATCGTTCATCAACATTAAATACACATATGCGTATACATCAAAATTTTAAACCATGGGTAAAAATTTTATAATAATAATGACATTGATGTTTTGTGTTTTTAGATTTGTGAATATTGTGGAAAAGGTTTTCATCAAAAAGGAAATTGGAAAAATCATAAATTAACACATTCAACTATAAAACAATATAAATGTTCTATATGTTCAAAAGTATAAAAAAAAAAAAATTTTATTTTTTATTCATTGAAATTTTATTTTTTTTTTGTTTGTCTTCTAGGCTTTTCATCAAATATATAATTTAAAATTTCATATGTATACACATTCAGAAATAAAACCATATGCATGTATGATATGTTCAAAAGGTTTTTGTCGAAATTTTGATTTAAAAAAACATGTACGTAATGTACATGTAAGTAATACAAATACTGCAAGAAATAATCAAGACTAAAAAATTTCTTTTTTTTTTGTATGTGTGTTTAATAAATAAATATATTTTTTGTGCGTGTATATTAATCGAAATCACTTTATGAACATGCAATAGATAAAAAAAAGAAGAGTTTTGATAGTTCGAGAGGAAATTGAAATGATAATTAAGAAAAAGGTAGGATTTAGATCATATATTTTATTCTAGTTTTTTTTTTTTGTGTGTGTTTCTCTTCTAATTGTTAAAAAAGAAGCCTGCCGGCAACAAGTATATCCGTTTTACTTTTGTAGAAAGATACTTTTTAACGGAAAAAGGACATATTAAAAAGATGACAGGATATATGCATGATATGAGATTCTATTTTAAATAATTTTTTTTTTTTTTTTGAAAAATATTTCATAAATTATCTAAGCATTTTATTCTATAGTATCACTAATAAAGAAATAAATAGAATTTCATACGATGTATTAAGAGTGAATGATTTGACTTATTATTTTATTTTTTTGTCAAAGTAACTACTAAACATTTACATATTTTATCAAAAACTAATTATATGATTTCGAATGATCAATTGATTGTATTTCTTTTTTTTTTTTTATAAAAAGATTATTTATCGGATGCATATAAGAAACAAAAAAAAACTTGTTAACCACTTGTCGCTTCGTTCGGGATTCCTGCAGTGTATACGAGACGATCATCATCATCATTTTTTTTTTTCTTTGCTCTTGTGTTTTACTGTTGTCGGCTAAGAGCACTCATCATCGACAAGAAAAAAAAGAAATCAGTTCCATATTGTAAATTTATTCGGCATTCTTTTCTTTCTTTTTTTCAACACTATTTTAATAGGATCTTTTGCTTTGCCTCATCACCACTTGACAATACTCAACAAAATCGAGGACATCTCGATGTATATATATATATATATATGCTTGATCATTAGTCAAAACGACGATGTAAATTGGGTCCCTTGTGAAAACAAAAATATAGTTATAGTTTTTTTTTGTCTTCTTAAGAATAAATTAGTATTGATTTCTCAACTACAAAAATAAAAAAAAAAAATCAACTATCATTAAAGTTTCGCATGCCTTCAGAATCGATCTTAGGTCTCAACTATATTCGAATATTTAACAAACAAAAGTCATTTATTAATCTGAAATGCTCTCTCTTTTTTTTAAGCGAAGAAAAGTTGATTAACACTCTAAAAAAAAAATGATACTCCAATTATAAAACTATTCTTGCATATAATCGTAATAAAGATTAATCCACAAAAATGACATAACTGTTGTCATGCCCGGTATCTTGATATGCTCTGTTAAACAGAAGAAAAAGACAATTAGCTACAATCTAACAAAATTTTCGCTAAAAAAAAACAAAAGAATCATGTGTTGGGTTATCTACTCATGTAAATGCCTTAATTTCAATAATTCTGACGAAAATTAACTTTCTTTTTTTAGAAAAACTTAACATAATGTTGTTTTTCTCAATATGAATTTTGCAGAACAAAAAAAAAGCAGTTCGTCAATTAAGTGGAAACAAGAGACTTTAACAACTTTCAAGAACCATAAAGTCTATTGTTTTAATATTGATTTAAAGATTGAATCTAATATAATTTTTGTCTTTCATTCTCATACACGACTTTCCAAATGAATAAGCATACCATTGACATTTGAATGAAAACAATTTTTACTCGACGTAATAGGTTAATCAGGACAAAAGCAATAAAGCATAAATTTATCTTAAAAAAAAAATAACTACTTCATTTGAAAATTATAATTGTTCGAAATAAACTAATATATAGCAATTCAGATAATCAGACGAACTAATATTAAATTAGACTAGAATTGAACACAATTTTACTACATTATCAATAAGAAATGTTTATTAGTAAAATGACAAAAGTTATCTGTCAGATTGGATATTGTGCAAAAAAGAAAAAACTTCAACATTTACTCTACATGAATTTTTTTTTGTTTTTAATTAGTTCATTGAATGTCTTTCGAAACTATTTCAAATTATGTGTTAACAATCAGTAAGACTTATTGAATAAAAAGAATAAGTCAATTGTCATATTAATTCCATACTTTTCTTATACGACTTGTTTGTAAATAAAGTAAAGTAATTTTTAGTAGTCGTATTTTCATTATGAGGACGTTTTTTTTTTTGGAGAGTACTATTTATTTATTACGCTCGAAGATACTTTATAACAATAATTGAAACAATAGAATAATGTCATACAAGTTGAATGATTGAACAGATAACGGAATAATACGAAAAAAATAGTAAAGAGAAGATCCACGTATGTGTCTTGCATCTCGTACTGATACTTCATACTCAATAGCAAATTTTCTGAAAGCTGGTTTCTAAATTTCAATTGTTAATTTTTGTTTTTTTTTTCATTCGATTTGTATACAACAACCTAATTCTTTTTTTGAAACAGAAATTTATTCTTAAATTCCGTCACTAGCAGAACAATTGCGTTAAATTCGATCCACTTTTTTTTTATAATGTAAAAAGTAGCTCCATTATAGCAATAAATAAAGCAGCGACAGATTTTTTTTGAAATATCATATGTAACTTCTTCAGTCTTCATCATCGCCTATGTTTAGATATTTTAAAGAATTTTGAAGCATAAAATTATCATGTTTTTCTTTTGATATTTAGTCTGAATAAGATTATAACTTTGTAGGCATTTCTAATCTTGTATAATCTAAATCAACCTAAACATATAGAGATTAATATTGAAAAAGTTGCTGTAATTAATTAATAGTTTGTGTTATACTTAAAAATAGATTTTTCTAGATGTGGAACTTATTTAAAAAATAATAATTTAATCAAATACATAAGCAAATCATTTTTAAAAACAAAAGTATCTATTGCAATGCTGTCGCCGTAGCCGAATGGTGAAAACTTTGTTTTTACAAAGCTATGTAAAGTCATATAAATTTATATGTAAATTCTAGCGTTTACAAATGCAGTATCTTGATATTCAATGATTAAATTTTATTTTCGACTATTACGCAATAGTAGCAATGAATATTCAGCCCGTGCGAAACATCTTTTTTTTTCTAGTAGCAGTTAATTGTATGCTAGACCCTTTTCTTTTATAGAAGTTAAAACTATTAATTGAGAAAAACAGGAAAAAGTTAAAATGATTGTGCTCAAATTTCTTTTAATTTAATGGATATTTTTTTGATAGATTAAATTATAATATTTATATTTCATTATTTTTTGAGAATTTTTTTTTCATGCATTCATTTGCAAGTTATATTATTTCATAGTTATATTGTCACTTGTAAATAAAACAATACATTCGTTAATATGTAATATTTCGAATTATTTCTATGTTAACAACTATAAACTAGATGTGAAGATTATAATCATTATTATTGAATATGTATTTATCAAGCATACATAGTTTTGAATAAAAAGTATGACTTTAAAAATTTCATAATAGAGTAAATTCGTCGAATGTTAATGTTGTTATAATTTTTAGTTATAATTATAATCTTAGATCTTAATTAGAAACAGTCGGATTATAGTCACTAACCAATACAATTATCAGCATTATTCAAGATTTTTCATCCAAAAACAAAATTAGGATAAAATCAGGTTATACATTTGAGAATATATATGTGTGAATGATTCAATAGGTGAAGAGATAAACCACACATGATAAAGTATAAAACCAAGAATTTGTGACATATAAGATATAAAATAGGCTATAAGTAGAGGATAACGTTGCCATGATTGTTGTAGATCAGTACAAGCATAAGCAAATGAGAAAATAATATGCAGTATAGAACTAAAAATGATAATAGTTGGTATTATATAAAGATCTTTTCTTGTTTAAAATTGTTTTTTAAATACTTCTTTGAATGTTTGTCGTCCACCAGTTGTTTTTACATGACTTCGAGCTATTTATACAATTAAAATTATTATTCATATAATTTGAATAAGAAATCGAAGAAAATAATGAAACAAAAGATTCATTCGATTGTAGATAGGAATCCATTTTTGTATATAATTAATAACACAAAGTGTAACATTTGTATAAGAAGGATCAATAATAGATGTATATAATAATTCATGAACATACATTCCAAGTAAGATTAAAATGATGATTAGATGTAAACTTAGAATAACTTTAGAGTTTCTTCAAAGTTATTTTCTGTTGAAAATAATACTACAGATAGACGTTCAATTGTAAAGAGACTTGATAATCAATAATTGAACAAAAAATATGAAATAATTTTACATGAAAATAAATTAAATGTATTATAATGAAATAGGTTGCCATTACTTTCCAAAATAATATGTATAATTTTTAATAATAAGAATAAAAGTGAACATTGATTAATAATTGATATAATAAGTAAAGAATTTTCAACACCAGTTTTACGTAATTTTGAACGAACAAAATGTAAAAAAAAAAAAAACTACAAAAATTATTCAAAAAACCAAATAAAACAATAATAAAAATAAATGAAATATATAATATAATAGCAATTATATTTGTTTTTTGTTGTATATCTTTAATAATTAATGTATCAAGTGTAAATACTCATAAATTGATTAGAAAATTCACAAGATTGACCAAAATAACATTTTTGACATAAACATAAAAAAAATCTTTATCATTATGAATATTACCTTTTAAACATATACCATAAGATAAACATGCTTGACATTGATCATTTGTTCGATCATAAGTAAAACATTCAACTCGATAATATAATCCTGATCACATATACAAATTGATTTGTTCTTGGATATAGAAAATATATTTTTTGTTTAATATAATTATTTTCTGTTTGTAATAATTGATTAATATGAAATTCATAATAATCAAGTATTAAATCATCATATAAAAATGTGACGAAGATTTTGATTATGTTTGATGATTGTTCATGAAAATAATAATTTTTTTAAATCTAAATGTGTTAAAATTGTTATTCGATCACTATAATAAATATTCATCTAAATTACATTTCAAGTAAGTTTGGGTGTAGTGTTTATTTAAAACTTATTAATAATTCACAGAAAATGTTTTCTTTTATAATTTTTTACTTCGATGTTATTGCTATCAATATAGATAATAGACCTTGTGAAAAATGAAATCTATTATAGATTCAATTTTGTAAACCATGCTTATTGAAATACTGGTTATGTAAATAGTATAGTTGAGCTATCAAATAACAATAGCTTGTTTAGGGTATGGGTGTGTGGCTATTGAGAGAAAGCGATACTCACACACACACCCTACTTCATTTTCTTTAGAGAAATATTTTTTCTTCCAATTTTTGGCCATGAGTGTCCACAGTTAAATTTTTCAAAAATATTGATCTTTTGACAACAACTGTTTTCATTTCAATGATATATTAATTAGATTTGGGGCTAACAAACACGGAGATTAGATAAGTCTTTATTAAAAAACAAAATGTCATGCCTACATAAAAAGTAAAAACGGTCGATTATGTGTGGGTACAGAGGTGTTCTGTCTCTTTACAGACCCCACACTACACGCATATACATGTTAGAAATTTCATTTACTCATATTTATTCGACATTTTTATTCTTTCACCAGATAGAAGCTATTCCATCAGATATTCTATGATCGTGTTGATAGCGGCAGAATTCTATCGAAAGTAACCGAGAGCCTAGACGCCAGAAGTGCGATAGTCGTATTCGAGTGGGTACTAGAAAGGTCTGACAGGGTTCCATTGCTTTTCTTCGGATTCAGACAAAATCTGATGAAATCTAAATCTGAATCCTGCTCATTGTATTGTTTGACCTGGATTTCTTTGAGTTTCTGCTTCCAAAAAAGGAGACGAGGATGATTTGAAGGCAATGAAGCTTCTCCGATTTCGACTGCTTGGTTCTGATATTTAACTGCCTTCGGATATTTTCTCATCTTATAATAAACTCCAGCAATATTGTTGTAAGAATCAGCTAATTTCGACTGATTCAAATGTTGCATTTGAAGTCTAATTTCACATCCTTTTTTCAAGAATGAAAGCGCTTTTGAATAATCGTCCATCTTATTGTATACTACACCGAGGTTATTGTAAGAATCAGCTAAATTCGGATGATTCGATATTTGTATTTGCTGTCGAATATCAAGTCCTTTTTCCAAGAATGAAAGTGCTTTTGAGTAATATCCCATATTATTGTATATCAAACCAAAGTTATCGTACGAATCAGCTAAATCAAGATGGTTTGGTAGTAGCACTATACTTCGAATTTCCAGTGATTTTTCTTGAAATTGAAGCGCTTTAGAATATTTTCCTACATTGTTCAACACTACACCAATGTCACTAAAAGAAGTGGCCAAATCTGGATGGTTTCGAGGGAGTATATTCAGACGTATTTCACACGCTTTGTCATGGAATGAAAGTGCTTGTTCATACTGTTCTAAATTACAATACACCGAACCAATTTTACTGTAAGAATCAGCCAAATCGGCATGGTTGGGAGGCAGTATTTTGTGACGGACTGCTAGTCCGTTCTCATACCATGAAATTGCTTTTGAATATTCTCCCAGATTAGCATATACGAGACCGAGATTTGTGTAAGATGCAGCTAAATGAGGATCATTTATAGCGGATTTCTTTTCGTATACTTGAATTGATTTTTGAAAATAAGAGATCGCTCCTGTGTAGTCACCCAGCTCGATTTTTATCATTCCAAGTTGATAATAAAAATTCCATGTTTCAAAGTCATCATTAATTTGTTTCAGTGGCATCTTGCACAAATGAAATGCTTTTTCAAACCCGCATATTTTTCTTAGCAAATTACCCAATCGATGATATTCTGTTGGTCCTTGGATTTCCTTTCTCATGAACTCAGTTAGAGAGCTCCAATAACCATCGTTATGTTCCATCATTGTAAGTTTTACTTGCCAAAATCGAGATTCTTTATCCATTTGTTGAATACGTTCAATTCGAAAGACGGTGTGTGTAGTAAATAGTATTGATTCATGACTTGAGTAATATTGTAAATCTCGAATATTTGCAAATGGAGTCGATGAAATCGATAGATCGACAGTGATCACAAATAACACTCTAACAGATTCTTGATTTTCGGCTGCCTGCCTAGCATCGGCAATAGAAATAAGACGATCTGGACTAGTTGATAGAAAGTGGTTGAACGACAAGAGACCGCCTACATGTGATTTTAATTTTTGTAAATCACTTTTTGGTAATCCTTGACCACGGTAGACAGTCAATTTTCCCTTAACTTTTTTGAACCGTTCGGAATGAAGTTTTCCTAATTGTTCATGAAGATCGAGAATAAAGAAACCCAACTTGATGATTGCTTCAAAATCTAGAGTTTCCAAAGAATATTCAAGCACTGAGTAGAGAAAATGCGGTGCTGTATACCACCAAATGGGTGAATGTTCATGATATTCTTGTTGAAACTGTTCGATATCCTGTTTTGGGAATTCGTTACCATGCCAATCACGACAGTAGGTGACAAATTCTTGAATTGATCGTTTATCATGTTTCATATCAGTAAGAGTTTCTTTCAGTAGAAATGTGTACATGTAACTTTGATCGATAAAATCCATGTTTTGATCTATCGCATTGTTATTCAGAGTAATCAAGGTATCGATAGAGTCGTTTTTGATATTTTTTGTAGCAATTTTGATTAATTCACAAATCGCTTCAAAATCTGCTTCAACACCTTTAATTTTGGACCAACTCTTTGTCCACTGTTCATGCTTTGCCGTGTCTCGACAAAATACGAATATTGAATGGATTTGTGGCAAATGATGTATGTGAACAACTATGCTTTGACCAAGTGATCCAGTTGTCACCAGCAATATTTTGGTGTCTTTTACTTTATTTAAAAAGTTGACGCATGTTGCAGCATCAGTGAAAATTTTCATATCATTCACAATACTCCGTATTTCACTAATTGATTCAGAATAATATTGATGTGATTCGTTGATTTCTGAGTCAAGCCAGATAGCAGGAAGATTTAAAACGATACACGACTCAACCAACTAGCATAAAAGAAAAATGCCAAAGTCCTTTAGAAATGTTTTGTTTGAGTCCATAATTCTATGGTGTTCTAGAGTCGAAATTCTACTTCCTTATTATGAACTTCTGCAAATATAACTCTGTCAGTAAAAATTATATTTTGATGTCCTCAATAAATAGACAATATCAAAATTTGGATGCCTTTTTCGATTTTCATAGAATCCATATTCAAAAGAATTTTCAAAGTTTCTACTCCTGGAACGAAAATGACATTGATATCTACTTTGATCATGAGAACACATATTTTTGATAGAGATGTATATTAGTCCTACCTGGTTTTGATGTTATGCTAATCGTATTTATGACTGCTGGTAATGTTTCATTATTCTTGTCCGTTATTTCTACTACATGCAGAACTTTTAGACCATCATTAAGTTTTAAATCATCACTTTCCACACTTAATCGAGTGCCTGGACCGAGCAATACTTCGTTTTCATCTGGATGTTTTGTATAGCCACTCAAATTTCTACCGTTCACCGCTTCAATCATGAAGAGTGTAGCATTTGTATCGTTGCCGAGAAATTCTTTGATGATATTTAGTGTGGTTGAGCAAGAACTCACACTTCGCCAAATTATTTCACTACCTTTAATAAAATTCTGGTTGACATTATCTTTCGTACCACACCAAAGACGTTTTTTCTCTTTGGGCAGTTTTGTAAGTGCAATTTCGAATAATTTGAGATAATTAGCCCATGGTGTCAATGAAGATGGGTCTTCCGATCGCAAATCGTTATTCAACAATTGATATAAACTATGAGCACCCAATTCCATGGTATAAAGATAAATCGAGGCTGATTCGTCATGTGTAAGGTTGTGTTCGGATGGAAAATGGCATTTTTCTAAAGCTTCCTTGATATATTGATGCAAATGGTCAATACGAGGCACGATGGGCTCAAGAGCATGTTCAAGTGAAAGTAATGATTGATGTCTATAACCAAAGTTTGGTGGAATTCTCTTGTCATTAAGATCAATGTCGAAAAATCGACTCATTACGGGTTTTATATCTTAGAATAAACAATTTCACTATTAGTCTTGTCAAAATAATATACAGAAATTCACAAAATAATCGTCTTTTTAAGATGGCGTGGTTTTCACTTGATGATGTTAAAAATGAACTATTAAATAGTTTTATCTACTGACTGAATCACTTTGGTTTCAAGACAAGATAAATAACCAATAGTTGGTAAAGGTTCCAAATATCAGCTTGATGATAACTGTGAAATTTGATGAATATTGCCGTATACTATGAAACGATAGGAACGTTTTTGATGAATTATAATATTGACAATAACGATCATGTCGAAAGTTTTCTAACGAGGCTCTTTATTGATTTATACTTTATCTATAATATTCAACAACAATTAATAGCAATTAACTTAATACAAGAAGCCTAGGTTGTTTTCGCAAGCAAATTTTTTGATGGTTATTCATCTATTAAGTTATTAAATTCAACTTACAGTAGTGATGAACAGGTTTCCAAAATTTTCCCATGAGAAAAACCAATTTTTAGAAATCCCATCTTCATAGAAAGAAAATTTCGAAACTCGTCAATTATGTAGAAGGGAAATTTCCAGTATTACTCTTAAAATTTTTAGGTTGTTGTAGAATTTTGCGAAAGCAATTTATTTTTTATTAACAATAATAGTGCTTGTAGTTAATCGCAAATGAATAGTTTTTTCGAATTCTTTTGCAACACTTAAGACACATTTATTCTGAGTCTGATCAATTCCACTTCCAATACTCGATTTTGGCTGAAATTGAAACCAAATTAGAATTAACCTATTTTGGTCCTACTGAGTAAATTATTGTGACATCTATTTTAGCTGAAGTGCTTATGTTCTATTTTAGAGAAGGTCTAGATGCCAAGAAGGGTCTATCTTTCATCCACGCGTACAAAAAATACCGTAACTACTAATACCCATGCTCACATCCAATCATGGTGAATTTGTAACTTATCTTGAAAATACTTACAGATAAATACTAGATTGAAAAGAAAAGGCAAGATAAAAAACTGAATCAAGGAAACCACTAGCTAAAAAAAACATGTACGAAATGATCATTCGCATCGGTCTCATGTCTGTCTCAATCGCTTCTGATATCTAAATCATTTTGACGCTACTTGCGCATTGTCTAATACCTTGTTTCTGCTTTTGAAACCATTCTAATAAGTTGCTCATTACAACAAAATGAATAACAGCCAATATAAGAAAAAAATTTTATATTGTCGGTGTATTGATTGGGCTTGTAGCTGCACGTGTAATACTGCTTGCTCTCCTGATCGAATAATTTACATTTTTTACCTTGCCAGCAAGACAACTCTATACACTTTCTATTGTTTGTTATGTTGTCTATTTTTCTTTCTTTTTTTCGATTCTTTTAACGACGCTCAATCGCAAAGATTGTATACAATATACACCCAATACGCATGCAATGATATGCATGGGTGAGTTGTAAGCAATGAATCTTGCATGTGAAACAAAAATAAAACGTTTATATCTCAATAGATATCAAAAAGCAAAAGAAAGAAGAAAAATATGCACTATTGTTATATTTTGAAATCCGTCATGTGTAATATCTATATATATATTGATAAGCACCAAGCTATAAAATAAAACAAATTTCAATGGTTATTCACACATACAGTTGACAGTTGGGTAATTTCAATCATGCATACTCATCTTCATATACTTAAAATCTTTTGCTCTTGAAGCAAAGCTATAGTTTAATAATATGAAGGCATCAAAAGGATCGAATGCTTACAAAGAACAATATATAATTTATTTTCTATAATAAATACACACTTATACGCCTATAAAATAACACTTTGATATACGCACTGTGCATAGAATAAATGAATTAAAATTCAGTAGAAATATTACGATATAAGGATTTAAAAAGTTTTTATCTGTGTCTTTCAGTACAAGAATGGTATTGGCATCGGTAGCTATTGATGTTTTTCGATGACGCCTGATAGACGGTTGCAAATCATGAGAGAAAACTCAATGAGGATATGGATGTTAGTATTTCTATGATCTACTGAGATGCTACCCTCATTTCCATTCTCTTTCTTGTTTTAATAAACGATTCGCTCAAGGGTGTGTGTGCACACAACATACACCCCCGCTGTAATGACATGTTTTGTTTTTCTTGGTTTATACGATTTAAGAAAATAGAATTCTTTTCTAAGAAAAAGTTTGATGTGTGTTGGCAGTCTTCAGATCTCAAGATGCACTTGTGCTCAGTCTCATGTATCTTGATAAAAACAGTTTATCTCATGATTGGAACGATTTATTTGAATCCAACGAGTAACTCAGTTTCATCTGTTCACTATACGTTCTGTGTGTTTCTTAACATTGCTTCAAACAAGATAGAAAGAGTCCTGATTATAACAAAAACTGTGCTTATTTCGAAGACAATCGTCTCATCTAGTCTTGTGTCTCTCTCAGTAAAGGATGTGAGAGTTTCGAAACAAAGCAACCATAACGTAGCAGAGTTAGGCACCGTTAGAAAATAGCATGAGTGGCGAGGTGGATAAAGAGAGAACAACCACAACACTCACAACCTCAATATTTCTTGTATATTGACTATTGAAATATTATCATTATGTTTTTACAATTTTTTTGATAGATTTTCGATTTGATGGTTCAGTATAATATTCTGTACAACAAGTTTCATTTTTTAAATCAAGAAATATTTGACTGTTTGTTAGGTGTTGAATACAGCAGTGTCACATATCCAGCAAATCTGGCATGCTGGAGACGCCGCATCTCCTGTAGACACAGCATTTCCTGGGGAGATGTTTAAAGATACAGCATCGCTCAGATGAGTCCTAGATTAAAAATCAAAAAACCTTTTTCCATCGGGAGAAGTGGGATATGCCGATGCGGGAGATGTCGCACCTCCCTGTGGAGAAGTGCGGGAGATGCTGGGTCTCTACACGAGATGCGGCATCTCCCTATGGAGACGCGTCTCCCGTTGGAGTTCTAGACTAAAAATCAAAAAAGAATTTTCATCAGGAGATGCTGGGAGATGTCGTATGTCCCTGTGGAGAAGTGCGAGAGATGCCGTGTCTCTACACAAGATGCGGCGTCTCCCTATGGTAGACGCGTTTTCCACCGGGGCCCTAGGCCAAAAATCAAAAAACAATTTTCCATCGGCAGATGTTGAGAGATGTCGATACGGGAGATGCCGTACCTCCTGCACTTCTCCACAGGGAGATGCGGCATCTCCCGCATCGGCATTTCCCAGCATCTTCTGATGAAAGTTCTTTTTTGATTTTTAGCCTAGGACTCCAGCGGGAGACGCATCTCCATAGGGAGATGCCGCATCTTGTGTAGAGACGCGGCATCTTCCGCTTTTCTCTTAATGAGGGTGAGGAAGAGACACACAGCACATCTCTCTGAGTGAGGGTGAGGGACACAGAACATCTTTCTGACTGAGGGTGAGGGCGGAGAGGATATGTGACATCTCTCGCATTTCTCTACACTTCTCCCAGATCTTTTTATACTTATCTCGCATCTCGCTACACTTCTCCAGCATACCCGATATTGTGGATATGTGACATCACTCGTTGGGACCAACTTCTATCATACATGCTTCAACTCTCCTTTTAGATCGTGTTTCATAAAACATCACATTTTTTCCAGAAGACTATTATTGAAACTAATATCATCAAAATTTTTTCTGCAAGCTTTACGAAAAAAACTCTTCCAAATATTTCATATTCGATTTTATGCAGCATATAATCATGACCTGATATGATGCATTCTAGTGGAAAAAATTTTAAGTGGACTATCTCAAATCTATTGATAACTCTTGGCTTAGTGCATAAGTTTGAATAAAAAGATCGCTTTGTATGTGAAATATCTAAGTTTTAATGAAAAAATTATAAAGCAACATAAATATAACGCGTTCAATCGAAAATAAATGCAATGATTTATTTCTTCGACATTATCATTAAAACGCTATTGGTGAATAGCAATTTTTTTTTCAAGTTTTCTGACAATATTCATGATTGTTTGTGAAATTTTATCACAATGAATATAAATGCCGGATGTTTTAAGTATTCATCGTTTCGATAACTCGTACAGATGTTTCAGAAGAAACACCGTCCTTTAGATCCATATCAAGATATATCATACTAGGATAGAGATCAAGAAGAAATAGAACTTGTTCTTTAATTGTTAAACATCTTCGCTCTACCATTGATAAAGATGAAATGACTATTGAATCACAATTCAGTAAATATTTCATCATGTTGATTAACGTGTCAGTAAAAGTTTCCTCAAACATAATATTTAAACAGGTTATTTGTAATTTACATACAACTGGACCAATCGTGCCAATAAAAGATTTATCAATAAGAAGATCAGAAAGTTCAATGACTTTTACAATGAGGTGGAACACAACAACATTTTGTATATCGTAAATATTGCAATAGAAATTCGAAAAACCCATTGTCGTTCTTTCCAAAATCAAGGATTGAATCGACTTATTAACTCATGATAATCAGTTATTGTGAAATTTTCAACCATAATTTCATGAAGTTGAGACATAATTACCCTACAAAAAAGTAAATACTTTGAAATCATTTATTTCCACCGATAAGCATCCAAACAACTTAAATTTATCGAGTTATGAATGCCTAATACTTCTAATTGAGGTGATAACTTGGTCAGAAGGATTTATAGTTCACTAAATTTGGCATAGTATGTAGCAATGAAAATATGCGTTAGATTCGATATTGCGTTTAATGAACATGTAACGATGTTTTTCTTTGATTTGTTCACTTGCTCACAAGTCAAACGACAGAGTTTGAATGTATCTGAAAACATAACAATTAGCCTTTGAGTGTTTGTCTTGTTCTGTTCTTCAACGACACACATCCATACCAGGCTCATCACTAGGTGTGTGGTTGCATGAGTGTAAAGCAGCTTCAGTATAGTACCCATACTCTTATTCACATGTACTCGCATCCACATTTATACTCA